CCAGTCAGCCCAAAACCTTGACCATGGCAAAGGTCAAGTGTCTTTTCCCTAGGAGAATGAGGAATCAGGATAATCCTTTTCTCAGAACATAGTATTTTCCCTGCTAGTCCCCTTTTCTTCTAGAGTATCCTGGCTCTCGACTCTCAATGCTGCTTCTTTATGCCAGAACACACAAGATTTATCAGCTCCAGCATCTGAAATGTGCTCCCTTTTGCAAAATGAAACTTCAAATATGTCTAGGACCAAATCAAGAGGTCCAGTTGCTGTAGTCTCAGCTCTAGCAAGTGTGTTTTGGAGAGATGGACTTTGAGGACCCCAACTTGAAAATAAGACAGCAAGGAAATTCTGACCCTATTGCCACAAAGAATGTACAGGAATCTAGAATGCAGTTCTGGACACTTACAGGAGCCCTGTTCTTTCTTTCAGAGAGTTTTCTACTCTTTAGCGCATAGCACGCCATTCTACCCATTATTTAAACATGACTGACTCATTTACCAAAGCCTTAGTGCAAATGCTGTTCGCCCCTTCCTTAAGCAAACAAATAAAATGAAATACATAGTAAGTGCAAATATGGGCAAGAGATGTGGTATCCATGGTATCACAGCCCTGTTGTTTGAGAGACTGCACCAGGAACAGGACAGCCATATGCTCCCAGTCAGTGTGTCTATTTCTAGATCAGAATGGAGTTCTGAGATCTCTCCCATCCAATCTGTTTGCTGATTACATCAGCTGATTCATATTCCTACAGCGATGAAGGCACTATATTGAGGGGCATGCTGTTTCCACACTCCACCATGGTCCCACCTGACATATACAGTTTTTCCGGCTAGATGCTCATGGGGATGTCACGTAAGGCCTCAGGATGTGGATGTCAGGACTGTCGTTTTATCTCAGTCATTTTCTCCAGGGGCCCAAAGTGAAATACATCTATAGATCTTAACCTGAGAAATATCTCAGTAGATAGAAGAAAACAGTAAATTCAATTTCCTGCCTTGGGTCATTTTCCTATTCTTTCCTTTATGAGAAGATGTGCAATAGAAATAAATATTAAAAATGATAAATTTCTCAGGATTATGTACAAACTCAAAACATTTCTATTATATCTAACTCTCAAACTATGGCCATGTGGCCCTTGTAAACACTAAGAATTTATACATCTGAATGTCTTTATTAGATGTGGACTATTGAATTCTGATCATAAACATTTTTATTTTATATAACATGTCACAATAGTGATTTAGACCTTGTTAAAAATTTGAAGTAGGGACACTTGCATTCAAAGAAGTCCTTAATTAAGGTAATAAAATCATTGTTTCTTTTTCAAAATACAAATGGTAATTTATTATTTTAACTGCTATTCTTTCTTTGAAACTTACAGTTCAGGTATTATTTTTAGTTACAGATATTTCATAATTGCTCATTCATATGGAAATATGCACATGTCAGGGACGAACCAGAGCATCTCTTTGTATATAGCATAGCATTAGTTAAGGTGGTGAGAAAATACACAGTATTCTGTATGTGTGACATCTTTTAGAAAGACCACATAGTCTTATTGATATTCTCAGTCAAGAATGTAAAGAGAGACAGTTTATACAGTGGTCACATACATGGGCTTTGAATTCAGGTATTATTTTATCACTTACTAGCTGTGTGACCTTGCCCATCATCCCTGTTTTCTTTAGGCTATTCCCCCTCTGGCAGAAAGTCAATTCATATCTCAAATCAGATGTGAATCATATCTGAAGAGATGGAAGACACCATCTGGTCCAGTCTTACACAGGCAGGAAAACATGGAGCTAATCATTACATTTTCTAGTCTTTTCTCTCTCCACTGAAAGTCCTAATAAAACTTTTGATTATTTCCTGACTTTGGTATTTTCTTTCCATATTTGTAACCTTGGAGTCATCTTGACTACTTTTTTGTTTATCTTCCTTATCTTATAGCTGAGACTTTTTAATTAGCCACATTTTTGCACTGTTAAAAACAAAGAAGTTCATCTATTTCTTACAACTGGACTCTGGTTCCACCAAACACACTTGGTTTTGAAAATATCTCAAAGGTAAGTATCTTATTCTGAAAAATTATTTCAAATTCCCTACAGATCTTAATATAGATTGCTTAACAGAGTGAATGGTAAGTGCTCAACTGCTACATTTGTTTCAAGGTATGTTGGTGTGTACTTAATCTGCATTGCAGAGATTCATTCATTTGGAAAAGAAAAAATCGAATACTTAAAACACATCAATATTATTCATTTTCTTTGCCATTTGCTGCTATTAGAGTTAAAGTTCTGTGGACATTTGGGGGTTGAAAAGTAGCTTTAAAAACCACAAAGAGGTCACTAATGTTGACAATCCTGAATCCCTCTGAAAAATAAGCACCTGCTCTTCTTATTTACTATAATAACAAATGCCTGGTCTTTGTACAGGTCAAACAGGTTTCTTAGATTTTTCAAAAGGCAATTATTTGATATTAAGACTTTAGCTGTATTTGGTCCTTGGTAATAAGATCTTACTCAAATATTGGGGGCCTCTAATATTATGAAAGTGACTTGGCTAAATGCTAACAGAGAAAGTGTAGGCAGTGCGACCGACTTCACTGTAGTACACATCTGCAGACTGTAGCCATGTTTTCACTTGCAGTGTGCGTGGGGAACAAGTCCAAGATGACCTTCAGACTGCTACTTAATTATTTCATATGCTTAATTATGGCTTGCTTCAAAATAATGTTTTGGTTAGCTACTGAGGTAAAAAGCTGGTTAAACCTATTAAAAATTGAGTTAAACAGAAAGCAAAGGATGCATCTTGCCTATTTTGCCCACATTAGGTGTGAGTATCTTGTTAGCAGGAATTATTTTTTTCAAATGGCATTCTCAGTGCCTACCCAGTATTTGGTCCATAATAGGTGCTAAACAGGGAATGAGTGGGTACCTAATTTATGTCACCCTAACACATCTATGCTTTGGGGATTTAAAGGGAAGTATATTATTATCTACTGCCCAAATCAAGCATGATTCAGGTAAAAATTCTAAAACTGCATTGTTCAATATGATAGTCTTGAGACACATGTGACTGTTTACTTTTAAATTCAACTTAATAAGGATTAAATAAAATCAACTTCAGTTTCTTGGTTGCATAGCCATATTTAAGTGCTCAAAAGCCAAATGAAGCTAGTGGCTACCATATTGAGTAGTGCAGATATTGAACATTTCCTCAATTGCAGAAAGTTTTATTGGACTGCTGCTCTCCTAGAAAGTGTGGTATTTTCTTCAAAGAAAAATGTAAAACCCACCATGACAGTATATAAATTCCAGCATAATCAGATGGTTTTGCAAATACGAATACCCACAACTTTAAGGAATCCTGGAAAGACTCAATCCACTATTTCTTCATCAGTCTCTATTTGTGGTAGACTTAAACTCTTAGTAGCTCTCTAAGAGCTTTGTAATAAATTGAAAAGGCTATAGGAAAAAAAAAATACACCTTAAACAAGTGGTTGCCACGCTTGTGCTTGCTAACTATTCAGATTCCCCCATACTACCTGCGAGATCCTGATCCAATAGGTCTGAAGTGCCTCAATGAAAATATATTATTAGATCTCCTCAGGTGATTTTGATGCACATGTGGCTATTTGTTGAAAAATTTAGCTTAAGAATTATAAAGATTAGATTCATGTTTCATCTCCTCAATAAAATGTATTGACTCTTCTATGTTATGGGCTCTAATCCAGGCACTTGGGTTATAAAGAAAGAGAAGCTGTCACTGGAGAAGGTATTACTGGTTGGACTTTTTGCAGACTTGTTCCTACTCCAATCATAGGCACCCTAGCCACCACTCCCTGTTCAAACCTGCACCTAGATATTCCCCACCTAGTCTGTCTCTGTGTGTAAAGCTGAGTCCAGCACGGACTTGATAGCAGCAGTAGAAGTTGTAGTAATTACAGAGGGAGAAGCAAAAGGAGAAAAAGGTGGAGGAGGAAGAGATGGAAAAGGAGAGGAAGAGAAAGAAAAAAAGAAGGAAGAAGGAAAGGGCTTGAGAGAAAGGAAGGAAGGAGAAGAGACAAACTTGGTGACTGGATGCCAGGCAGGGCAATAAGTGAGAGCAAAGAGTCTGGGACGGCTTTCAGCTTTCTGAAAGGTAGTAGGGCCGTTCGATTAAACAGGGAATGCAGGAAGAAGAGTCGTTTGCAGGGAAAGATGTTCAGTTTTGGTGTGTTGGACCTGTATGCTGCCTCTGGTACTTCACAGTGCAGACATGCAGAAGGCAGCTGGAGATACAGTTTAGAACTTTCAAAATATAGATTTGGGATGCATCAGTGTTCATGAAACCATGAGAGTGAATGAAATCATACTGTGGAGAGAGAAGGCTCAGAAGGATGGGAATTTGGTGGACATAAGTATTTCAGGCAGTGATACTTAACCTTTTGTGGATCCATGACCTTTCTGAAAAATCAGATGATTTCTAAAGAATGTCAAATTTCACAGACTGTAACGTTTTATAGATTCCAAGATGTTCAGACCCCTGTTGAGAACTTCTATAGATTTCAGGTGTTTAAATGATGAAAGAGGAAGGAGAGCCTATGAAGAACAGTGAGAAGGGGAGTTAAATAGTAGGAAAACAAGATTTCCAACTCAGGGAGACTTATTTATCTGACTCAATGCAACAGTAGCTATAAACCTTTTAAATGAGTAGCTTGCTTCTCTTATATTCCTGTTTGTAAAATCAGGAAAGCAAGAGTGCACATTTAGAAGTAATTTATTAAGTTTTTCTGCATAGTCCCTCAGAGTTAACAACTGAATTCCCTTGCAATTCTGTTTTGGGTTTTCTTTCTTTGATTATAGAAGCCATAGCTTAGTTAACTCAGAAAGAGAGTTTCTTAGAGTATTTCAACATTCCCAGTGATTTCCTTTTCCATATAGGTGTAAAATAGGGGTACAGTGAGGCCAGCATACATTTGTGATTCACTGGGATCCCCACCTTTTATGTGTCACCCTTACCTACAGAAGTGATGATGACTGTGAAGTGAGTTTCATCTCGCCTTCCAGTTACGTTGTTGTAAGCACAGCACACGTAATCAGTTGTCTTCTGGGCTACTTTCTCAGATGCTACTTCCAAGTGAGGCCCGTGCTTAATGACATAGGTTGTATTGTCAGTCTTCTGGATCCAGGAGTAGGTGTTGGGGGGATAAGAGTCAGCAGAACAATCAAACAAGATGGCTTCTCCAATGTCAACAGTAAACACTCCCCCTACTTTTAGCCCTTTATCAGAATTAACGTGAAGTCCATAAGGTCCATCTACATTAATTAAAAAAAGAAAGAAAGAAAGGGGTGATATAAATAACCATGACATAGTTAATGAATTTGGGCTTGCTTAGTAACATTTTACTTTCTGTAAAAGTCTTCATTTCATGTTAAACTTGGCCAAATAGGTCCTCATTTAGACTCCCAAGAAAGAATGAGGGCCTAAAATTGCTTTATGCTGATATTTATGAAAATGTAAATTATTTGAAATGTGATTGAACTTATTTGAAATAGTGAAAGCCCTGAAATTTAGTATACAATTTATAAGATTATAATAGTCATCATAATAGTGGTACTAAACTTTTGAGTAATTAACTGGTAAATCTGCAATCTTGCTAGACAAAGTCTGTCTTTTTGAAACTGTCATTGCATTTGAAGCACTTTTTAAATAGATTATGGTCTCTATTTTCTTTTTGGCAACCATACTTTGAATATTTTCTTTTCAGTGCTTGGATGGGTCATGCAAATATCTATAAAATGCATAGCTTCACATGAAATGCAAATTTGTACAAATTGATATAGGAGTGTTCTATATTTTTATGATACTTTAACAGTTAAAGAATTTAAAAAGTTTCTCCCTGAAAGCTAAGCTTAGAATGCCATTTGGAAAAAAATACATTTTCTTTAGTAATAATGAACAAATATTCATTGATCAGCAATAAACTACTTAATCATGGATATCCCATGGTTTTTTCCTCACACTGCAATATTCCTATAGCATTTTGCTATTTTTATGCAGTAGATTGCCTACAGATGAACACACATTTCCCATTGCTTTCTTCAGAAGTCAGTAAAGAGAGAGATTAAAAAAATGTTCCCAGTGAGACAGGTTTTTCTCCTTCAGTCTAAATCTTGGCTTATATTCTAAAAACTTTAAGGTTTAGGCATGACCATGCTCATTTTTCATCAGATCATAACCAACACTTATTGGATATTTGCCATCTGAAGCTATTTTAAGTACTTATATAGACAACCACATTTAATCTTTAGAACAATCATAAGAAGTAGATGTTGTTATTCTGGTAAGGTGAAGGAAAAGGTGCTTAAAAAATTAATTTTCCCATGGTCACATAGCTATTAAATAGCAGAGATACAAGTCTGAAACATATGCATTTAACCACTCATATTATTTCTCTTAAAAAAAAGTAAGTGATATAACTCTCTATATCAGAATAATTTTTTGTGGTCTAACTATATTAGTTCTATAATAAATTATCTAATTATATATTAATTCTATACTCAGTTATTCAAGTAATCAATCCACAATATTTTGTGTCTTAGTTGATGTTGATTTTCTCTATGATACTAAGTTTTACATAAAATATTTAATATATGAGAGAGAAAAAAATGTGCACAATATGGTTCCTACTCTCTGTGGATGGTTTGTTCAGTAATAACCTAATTTCAAAGGTCCTGATTTCAAAATAAAAGTATCGACTGCTCATCTCTCATTGTGTGGAATAATATAACATAGTGACTAGACAGTAAGATAACTAGGTTAAATTCTTAGTTTTGTCAATGATTAGTTAAGTATTCTTCAGAGGTCATCTAAACACTTTGGGTCTCACTTTCCTCACCTTTACTATAAGAAGGTTGACTGGATAACTGGTACTTTCTACCTTTGATACACCATCACTCATGCCACTAAAGCTATTTTGGATACTGGTAGACCAACCTTAAATTTTCGGATTCCTAGAGTGGTTCTCTATTATGTCAACATTTTCTGACCAATCTGTATGGGGGAAACAAATTTCCTAAGATATAGCAGAAATTAAAGATGAAAAACAATAAATTATAGTTAGTTAAGGAGCATACACTTTATTTGCATCCTTAAAACACAGAGACACCTGGAGGAAACCTATAGATGTATATTAATATGTACACATGAGATGATTGGTTTTTCAAAAAGAAAGCAAACACAGAAGTTAATGCCTTCAAATCTAAAGTCATCAGGAACTAGAATTGGGGGATTAAAGCAAAGAGAAATTAATGCCCCCTTTGCTGTGACTACAGTGGAACCCTGTCATACTTTCTCTCATTTCAGGCTGTGATACGGTCTCAGGGGAAAACCACTGTTTTACACGTATGTGCTATAAAATGGAACCTTATTCTGAATTCCACTAAATAATAAGTTGTGTAATGGGAATAAAAAGTTGTTTTCACTCTCTCAACCAAATCATTATTGAGATGTTACTGTGCAGGCTTTGTGAAGGGATCTGAGGTGTCATAGAGATGTTTCTGTAGCTGTTCTCTCAGGTCCAGTGCAGCAGCGGCGGCCCTTCAAGTTGTCAGCATTGACAGAACATCAGGAAAGCAAAGGCCACCAACCAGCGGGTATTGGTTATGGTTCATATAGTTGGAAACCAATGTGAGCAAGAAACCCAAGTTTTGCTGAAAAATTAAAGTCTGAGAGCAGAGCAAGGAGGCTTGATGAAGAGAAGCATGGTTGTAGAAATACAGCCATCCGTATCAGTATTTGTCTTCCCACTGGTTTTCAGGGTTTACAGAATGACTATAAAAACAAATTACTTGATAATTTAACACACATGAAAGTGAGTGATTTTCCTTTCAAAGTGAGTTGCCATTACTAAAAACTTGAACTCCCATTTGGAATTACCTTAGGACCTTGCAACATAATGGAGTGTTCTCAAAAGCAGTAATTCTTCCATTTTGAGAGTGGGTTCAATTTGTAGAGGAATCCCACAGTCATTTAAAGGACTGGTGAATAAGGTTCACTATTGAATTTAATAACATCACTCTAATTTAAAATAAAACATGCCTCTAAAGAAAGGAATCTCATCATCTTAGCTTGTCTTCCCTATACTCATATTTATTTTGACTTTTTACTTCCCCATTTGTTGGGTTTCATTTGTTGGCATAATCATTTCTCTTCTGTTTGTCTTAATTATGTGTTATGTCTGGCTCTTCAGAGTAAGCTCCAAATCCCTCAAACTCCCCCAGGTCCCACACAAGCATCTCTTCTAGTTCTTAGAACCTAATACCTTGAAACATTTAAGTTCCTTGCTTCTGATACAATTTCTTAAAATGTAACATATATTATCTGATTATATAAGGAATATACATTCATTGCACAAAGTCCTAAAGTTCGGAGAAGCAAAAAATGAAAACTCATTTTTAATTTCCACTCAGAAAACAAATGTCCATAGTTCAGTGAATGATCTTTATGTCTGTCTTTTATACCTTTCTCTCTCCCTCTCTTACTTTTGCTCTTTTACACATACACAGATCAATTTATCATCTATCTATCATCTATCTATCTATCTATCTATCTATCTATCTATCTATCTATCTATCTATCTATCTATCTATCCATCCATCTATCTATCTATCTATCATCTATCTACCATTCCATCCATCCATCTACTTACCTACCTACCTATCATCTATCTTTCATACTCCTCAATCTATGGCCTATCATTTACAATCACATGGCTTATAATTTATTTTTTTTAATACTACACAGTGGTGATATTTCCTTTTTCATTAGCACTCAGTCTGACCATCCTTTACTTTGAGGTGCAACCTAGTCCATTACTTCTGGGAATGGGCAATCCAGTTGGAGACATTAGGAATGACTCACCAGTGTGGCCTCTGGCATTGAAGATGAAAGCAGAAGATAGTTCTATTTTGGCTTTGGGTTATGGTTCAGTTTCTTCTTTGGTGGAGAACTCCTAATAGAAATGAACCCTTTGCCTCAGGAATGGCTGTTTGCTAAGAGGCTTGTAAAATCACATATCATCTGTTCTCTTTAACAATTTATGGCTGGGTGGGAACAGTACCTAAATTTCCATCATGATGCTGCTTGCCATCCTGCTTGGGAGCAGATGGTAAGTATTTACTGTGAATGACCTTTTCTACCTCTAATTTTTATCACTTAGAGTATTTCCCTGCAGCAGTGCCATATGTCGTACACAAAATGCAGTGGTTCCTGGGTTATTATTTACAACAGAGCTGGAAGGCATATACATTTCATGAACTGCAAGTAGATACCTGAATTACTGGCTTGACATTGTATCCCACCAAGGCCAATACCTGGTTATGAGATCATAACCTCATAAAAACACGGTCCATTTCAATAGATTTTGTTATACTTTTTTCTGCTGAAATAAAAAGTTATCCTTGCTTTCATGAAGGAAATTGTCATAGAAACAGTGCCTTAAGAAAACAGAATAGGTGATTCATGCTGAAATTCTAAGTTATGATGTAGATCTCTGTGGGGGATGTGCCACCCGTGCATAACCTGTGAACATTCTTTCTCCCTGTGGGGAGCCTCAGAGCACATCCCTCTCCCAGTCTGTGTTCCCTAACTCTTCCTCTTTGGGGATGGGTAAATTAGTATTTCCTGCACGGTTCTGGGTTCTTGAAATTGAGGTTCCTACTTTTCCCTGGAAATGTCACATAATGGACTATGTCAGAAGATGTATCTTGAGAGGACTGTCGCCGCTATCTCAACTTGATCTTCAAGAAATAGCACTGTGCAAATAGCTATACTTCATGACAAGACAGTGCCTAGGAAGTGTAATTACAGCTAGTACTGCATTGCAATAACAGAAAACCAAATGACATCTGGGGTTGATATTCTCTGTGACTACCTTCATGAAAACGTCCCAGAAGAAAACTCATGAATATATGTGTTTTAAAGACTTACAATATATGGTAGGCATAATGATGCCGCTTTCCATCTCACTGACAGGGTTCTTCACCAAGCAGCTGTAATTCCCAATGTCTTCCTTGGTCACTGGAGCAATATGAAGGGTGTTGTTTTGGGGTGAAAAGGTATAGGTGGGGCCGGCGTGGATATACTTCCCATTTTTTAGCCACTGGTAAACCAGCCGGGTGCCGCCTTCCACGAGGCATGTCAGGGTCAGGTTCCCGACATATTCCACAGCCCCAGAGGAAGGCTGAGTCCGCACCATCGGGTTTGTGACAAGATCTGCAATATCAAAAGAGAAATGATTTTTGCCACCATGGAATTACAAGCAAAGTCTCTAAGATCTTTCCAGTATTGAATCCTAAGGAAATGATTCCAAAGTGTTACATCTTGTAAATGTAGGCAGTTCAGGAAATAAAGAAGAGAATAAAAATGTCATGGAGAATGCAAAATGATAAAAGATAAAGATTTTTTATTCTTTATAGCAGAGAAAACCAAATTCTAGACTTTACTCTTCAAGGATTTCCTAATGAAACCCTTTACAGATCATGCGCTCAGTGGTAGAGAACAGCAGTTTTCTTAGTTCCTGCTCACTATGCCTTCCCCAACACCGTAAAGGTCCACTCTCACAGGCAACATTTACATGGTCATTCCCCTCCCGTGACCCGTCCTCATGTCCCAGGAGCAGCTGGGTGGGCTAGATGTGGTGAACCCAAATTTCTACCCACCAGCTGCAAAATATAGAGGTCATATTTACTATACTTGCAGGGTATTGCGAGAAAGGTTTAGAGACTCACATGTGTACCACTTACTTTTCCTTCTGTGAAAGTGAATTAATATATGTTTAAACTGCCGTGCATTCGTAGTGAAACATTAAGTTGCTTTAATAAGCCAAAGCCTACATTTTAGAGCCTGTCTCAATCTGAAAATAGGAGAAAATGTGTTATTGGGATTACATCATATTAGAAATATAAAAGATAAATCCAATAGGAGTGCCTATTATAACTTTTTAAGTCAGAGGAAAATAGTTTTATATCATGAGTCTGGTACATAGGAGGCACACAATAATATCTGAATGAGTAAAAATGAATGAAATTCTAAGAATGAGTAAATATTTTCTCCTTGAGTTTTAACTCTAAAATAGCTGGATAAGGATAGCAATTATATAAGTAGGTACAGCCATTTTCAACAACCTTTATTAACTTTTGAGGTTCTTGGCACTTTTGACAAAGGACCATGGCTTCCCGGAGTCACACAGCAGTCGGTGACAAAAGGAAGAGGGCTCTAACTCTGGCAATGTTTCTCTCCTGCATTTTGGAGAGAGATGCATTGAATAATATCCTTTTAGGGATGATTAAAGGACTCAGAGACAGTGAGATGATATATAACTGACAGATGATTGGCACCAATAATTGGATTTCAATTTCCTACCAAGCTTTTACTTGGGGTCGACACATCTCCCCAGGTAAATTTGTCTGGATTCATATTCACCTTTTCCCACTCTGGAAAATGTGCATTAAGGCAAAAAGAGACCCAATCCTTCGACCCAGAGAAGACAGGAGAAAATGAAAGTTAGGGAGAAAGGCGGTTGCAAGGCAATTTGCTGGGGTGTGGTGTAGTTCTAACGCCCCACCTCCTCTCTCAAGATGGGTGCAGTAAACTTGTCCATTCCATTTAAGCCTTTATATTCCCTGGCGAAAACAAAGGATGTAGAATAGCTTTTGTTTACATTATTATGATTTAAACAGAAAATGAGTTGTGCATATTTATTATTTTTGCATTTGTATTTATTAGGAAAAGCTTCATATTTCAAATATGTCCGTGTGTGGAAATATACGTGGTAAGGGATAAGTCAGGTAGGTAGTGCCAAAGGTTTCATGTGGGGAGAACGAACCATTAGGATAGACGTGGGTACTGTGACCACACACTTGTCCTCAACAGCGTGGCACAGATGTGGAGGTATCCCAAGAAGATTTTTTTACAGAGGCCCTGAACCCCAGTTAAGACTTTTGTGTTGCATGTCCCTAAACAGATTTAACTTTACTACACATTAACAAGTAATGGATGTTCTAGTAAAAGTTTGGGGACAGATAGGATACTACCCAGGAGAATTTCACGAACATTTTCTCCTTTTCTCTCTCCAAGGTTGCTCTCTGGGCATCTGCTTCCACATCCTGCGCCCTTGTCCCCTGCGGCCTCTCCGATCGCCACTCATTTTCTCCACATGTATTTTCTGAGTGCTTACTAACAGCCAGATCAGGCTGAGACACTGAGGACAAAGCCCCAGATAATAAATCCCTGCTCCCATGGACCTCGTATGCTAGACAAGGAAGAGACACAATCATGCATTAAAAACATGTAATATGTTCAGTGAAGTAAATGCTTTGGAAAGAATAAAGCCAAACTGAAGACAATCGCTCTCTCCCTCTCCCTCTCTCTCTGTTTGGGGGAGTGAGGTCACACTGCATGTATCACAGTCAGGAAAGCCTTCCCAGATAAACAGACATTTCGGGTGAGACCTCAGAGAAACGGGAGGAAACCGTGCTGTTATCTAGGAGGAAAGCAATCCAGGTGGAGCAATCCAGGAATAGCAAGTGTGAAGGCTCCGAGGTGTGCGTGTGTGCCTGCTTTGGGAAAAGCAAGGAGGCCAGTGTGGGCAGAACGGAGCCAGTGAGGGGAAGAGAGGTAGGAAATGGGGTCGGAGAGGTGCTATGTGTGTTGGGGGTCACGTTGCTCTTTGTGAGACATTGTTGGTGCTTGGGCTTTTATGCCGAGTGAGAGAAAAGCTGGGAGAGGAGTTTCCGCTGCAGGAGGCAGCAGTAGGAGCAGGAGCCTGAGTGCCCGGCTGTTCGGTGGCTTAGCGCGGAGCTGACGGTGGGGTTGAGTGGGGCACCAGTGGGTGGTCACAAGTGACTGAATTCTATCTGTATTTAGAGGTAAAACTGACAGGGTCAACTTGTAGATTGTATGTGGGGTGTGAGAGAAAGAGGGCATCAATGGTGACAGCCAAGTTTTGGCCTGAGCAACTGATGGAATGGAGTTGGTATTTACTAAAATGGATCGATATTGCTAAATGAGCAGGTTTAGAGGGAAAAAATCAGAAGTTGGGCTTTGGCAGAGAATATTAAGGTATGCCACTTATATCCCTCAATAAGGAAAATAAATGTCTGAAAGTTAGCTGACCACACACCCCATCAGAGCACATTTCCAGGAACTTCAATTGTTCTTTCAGTATGGTCCTTTAGGCAAATCTCATCTTCCCCCAAGTAATGTACTCAAGAAAAAATCATCACATTATAAAAATGGGGTTCTTCCCGGGGTGCACTCTGCTACTGAGAAAATAAAATTTTCTGCATATTGACAAAGGACCATGGCTTCCCGGAGTCACACAGCAGTCGGTGACACAAGGAAGAGGGCTCTAACTCTGGCAATGTTTCTCTCCTGCATTTTGGAGAGAGATGCATTGAATAATATCCTTTTAGGGATGATTAAAGGACTCAGAGACAGTGAGATGATATATAACTGACAGATGATTGGCACCAATAATTGGATTTCAATTTCCTACCAAGCTTTTACTTGGGGTCGACACATCTCCCCAGGTAAATTTGTCTGGATTCATATTCACCTTTTCCCACTCTGGAAAATGTGCATTAAGGCAAAAAGAGACCCAATCCTTCGACCCAGAGAAGACAGGAGAAAATGAAAGTTAGGGAGAAAGGCGGTTGCAAGGCAATTTGCTGGGGTGTGGTGTAGTTCTAACGCCCCACCTCCTCTCTCAAGATGGGTGCAGTAAACTTGTCCATTCCATTTAAGCCTTTATATTCCCTGGCGAAAACAAAGGATGTAGAATAGCTTTTGTTTACATTATTATGATTTAAACAGAAAATGAGTTGTGCATATTTATTATTTTTGCATTTGTATTTATTAGGAAAAGCTTCATATTTCAAATATGTCCGTGTGTGGAAATATACGTGGTAAGGGATAAGTCAGGTAGGTAGTGCCAAAGGTTTCATGTGGGGAGAACGAACCATTAGGATAGACGTGGGTACTGTGACCACACACTTGTCCTCAACAGCGTGGCACAGATGTGGAGGTATCCCAAGAAGATTTTTTTACAGAGGCCCTGAACCCCAGTTAAGACTTTTGTGTTGCATGTCCCTAAACAGATTTAACTTTACTACACATTAACAAGTAATGGATGTTCTAGTAAAAGTTTGGGGACAGATAGGATACTACCCAGGAGAATTTCACGAACATTTTCTCCTTTTCTCTCTCCAAGGTTGCTCTCTGGGCATCTGCTTCCACATCCTGCGCCCTTGTCCCCTGCGGCCTCTCCGATCGCCACTCATTTTCTCCACATACATTTTCTGAGTGCTTACTAACAGCCAGATCAGGCTGAGACACTGAGGACAAAGCCCCAGATAATAAATCCCTGCTCCCATGGACCTCGTATGCTAGACAAGGAAGAGACACAATCATGCATTAAAAACATGTAATATGTTCAGTGAAGTAAATGCTTTGGAAAGAATAAAGCCAAACTGAAGACAATCGCTCTCTCCCTCTCCCTCTCTCTCTGTTTGGGGGAGTGAGGTCACACTGCATGTATCACAGTCAGGAAAGCCTTCCCAGATAAACAGACATTTCGGGTGAGACCTCAGAGAAACGGGAGGAAACCGTGCTGTTATCTAGGAGGAAAGCAATCCAGGTGGAGCAATCCAGGAATAGCAAGTGTGAAGGCTCCGAGGTGTGCGTGTGTGCCTGCTTTGGGAAAAGCAAGGAGGCCAGTGTGGTCAGAACGGAGCCAGTGAGGGGAAGAGAGGTAGGAAATGGGGTCGGAGAGGTGCTATGTGTGTTGGGGGTCACGTTGCTCTTTGTGAGACATTGTTGGTGCTTGGGCTTTTATGCCGAGTGAGAGAAAAGCTGGGAGAGGAGTTTCCGCTGCAGGAGGCAGCAGTAGGAGCAGGAGCCTGAGTGCCCGGCTGTTCGGTGGCTTAGCGCGGAGCTGACGGTGGGGTTGAGTGGGGCACCAGTGGGTGGTCACAAGTGACTGAATTCTATCTGTATTTAGAGGTAAAACTGACAGGGTCAACTTGTAGATTGTTATGTGGGGTGTGAGAGAAAGAGGGCATCAATGGTGACAGCCAAGTTTTGGCCTGAGCAACTGATGGAATGGAGTTGGTATTTACTAAAATGGATCGATATTGCTAAATGAGCAGGTTTAGAGGGAAAAAATCAGAAGTTGGGCTTTGGCAGAGAATATTAAGGTATGCCACTTATATCCCTCAATAAGGAAAATAAATGTCTGAAAGTTAGCTGACCACACACCCCATCAGAGCACATTTCCAGGAGCTTCAATTGTTCTTTCAGTATGGTCCTTTAGGCAAATCTCATCTTCCCCCAAGTAATGTACTCAAGAAAAAATCATCACATTATAAAAATGGGGTTCTTCCCGGGGTGCACTCTGCTACTGAGAAAATAAAATTTTCTGCATCACATTATATCAGCAACTTTACACTTGATAGTTTCCAGGCAAACAAATAATAAGACCTACTTACTGCTCAGTCATCTTTAGCTTGGCACTGTGCATATCTTTTATATGCATGTCTAATTTAACCCTCAGAAGGCCTCATGAAATAGAAATGTCATTTATGCCATGAGACCCAGAGGCTTTGAGGATTAATTAATTTGCCCAAAGTTGCAGAGCTAAGCCCTACAGCCCTGGTAGTCTGAGCTCTGGAGCCTTTGCTGATTGCCACACCACCCAGCTGCCCGTGTCACTTCCAGAGGACTCACCATCAACAGTGACTTGTATCTTCTGACTAGCAGATAGAGTTCCATTTCCCTGAATGTTGACCTTCACGATGTAATTGCCTTCATCAGTGAACTGCAGTGGGTTGATCAGCAGAGACGCATTGGGTGGCATCATGGTGAATTTGTGTCGGTATTCCAAGTCGGGAACCACAGACTTGTTCACGGAGCCCAGTAAGTATTTGGGCATTGTGTGGGGTCTCTCAAACAGCCATATGATCTGTATGTCTGATGCCAGAGTATGGAATCCATAGTGCACAGGGAGGTAGAGGGCTTGGCCCCTGATGCCATGGACGGTGTGTGACGGCACTGCTACCTTCAGCCCAGAGCAAGCACCTGCCATGAGGGAGAAGAAAGCTGTGAGGACACTGAGCCACATGTCACAACCTCAAGAGGCAATACAGAGAGAACCTGCCTGGGTGGCAATCCTTTACAAAGAAGAGAGGCTTCTAGGCACTGACCATTCTGGTACCTGTTACCTGGGGAGGTAAATGTTTGTCTTTGAATCCTTCTGCATTTTAAAAACTCCACCCAAAGACTATGTTGATGAAAGGGAAAAGCAGAAGTTATTATCTCTGACTGTTAAAGAATAATGGGGAAAAGAGAACTGGGGAAGATTATTAGTTCCAAAGTCCAATGAAACCTTGAAAAAATTTGAAATCATCACTATATTAATGTTAGAGGCATATAATATCCTAATCAAAGTATGTTATTTGGAGGAACAATGAGGGGCTTCTTCCTCCCAAGAATCTTCCTCCAGAGTCTTCTGAAATGGCTTAATAGTTCATTATTGGAAGTTTCTCCCTTTAGCCAAAGCCTTGCCATATGCAGGGAGCATGGCATTAAACCCTTGTCAGTCATGATAATGATCAGTCACAGTTAGTCATTCCTGCCCAGAAGCTGGAATTTGGCTGGTGTGTTTGAGGAAGAATATCAGAGGCAAGAGCAGATGGAAGACGAGGAGGGTGGTAAGACATGAGGTCAGCAAGGTGGCTGCAGGCAGATCAGGCTGTGTCTTAGAGTCATGGCAGATGCTGGCAATTGTACTCTAGGTGAGATGGGGATGCAGCAGGAGTTTGGTGAGCAGAAAGGGATATGATCTTTCTTACTTTTTTTAAAGGTACATTCTAGTCTGTGAGAATAGACTGAAGCAGGGGCAAGAGCAGGAGCAGGGAGACCACTCAGGAGGCGACTGCAACGAAGTAGACGCGAGGCAATTGTTCTGTAGGCCAGGAAGGTAGTAAAAGGTACTGTGAGAAAAGGCTTGTGGTGCTAACAGGATATGATGACACGTTGTGGGTGGGATTTAAGAAACAAAGAGTCAAAAATGATGCTAAGGTTGTTGACCTGGTCAACTGGAAGAATGGAGTTGTCATTTATTAATGGGCAACTAATAAATTAATCATGGAGGAGACAGTGGGGAGAACAAGATTTTTGGCAGAAGATCAGGAATCAGTTTTGGCCATGTTCATTTTAGATGCTCATTACACATCCAAGAGGCAGTACTGAAAGGATATACTAGGCGTGCAAGCCTGATTAAAGTGGGCTTAAGAGACAATGAGGGACCTAGAGGACCCTAGGGCATGGACGTCTGCCCAGTGCAGAGCCTGGCCTCCTGGCCTCCTACCTGCGCGGGTTGTTCAGGCTTTCTGTCCGCAGCTTTCTTCCTAGTCTTGGGCACCTGGAGATTGCCTCACCTTTTACCTTTGGCCACGGTATATTGTTTTAGCATATTAGCATCTCTATGTGTTTGGAATGGGGAAGAGCAACCTTCTTAGCTCAGGCTACCAGGTTGCTGGAATCCTAGTTAAAAGCTCTTTGTTGCAAAATCCTCATTTTAAAAAGAAGCAATATGGTGCCTACATCATATGAACATTTGAACTAGGAGGGGAAAGAATGGGAGGAATTTAATTCTGAAGTATTTTGAATATGAGGGGAAAAAAGAATGGGAAGGAAATTGGAGACAGTGAGTATAGACAACACTGCTGGTGGTTTTGCTGTGAAGGGGAGCAAAAAAATGTTTTTTTTCTTTTTTCCTTTTTCTTTGAATGGGTGCTGAGCAGTGTGTTTGTACTTATTGGAATAATCTGCTAGGAAGAGAAATCTTGATGAAGCAGAATAGAGATGGTTGAAGGTGGAATAAAATCTTGGGTGAGAATAGATGGAAATTTGAGCAGAAATCTTACAATTACAATTTTCCACATTCAAAGTGCTTATCTTCTCTGATTTCTTCTCTTTTTCACCCCTATTAGGAAGCTTTGTGGAGGTCATGTTATGAACAGCCATCAATATTAGGAAGGGAAAGGTAGAAAGGTCTGTTTGTGCAATCATTTCTTTGGAGAAACTGAAAGACATAGGCCCACTCTTATGAAGAATCAAGTTTTACTAACAGTAAATTTCTTTCCTTCCTGCCCAGGTGGAGCAAACATTTCCATGGTTTCAGTGTTTGAGTAGCTGTTAGCAGAGAGTAAGATCCTGGGGCTGGCAGGGAAGTTAAGCAAAGAACTCAGGAGGAGAAAGCACAAAGAAGATCGGAGGAGGGTAGAGGGAGAAGGGACTCCTAGATGCTCAACTGAAGCTGACCATATAGACTGAAGATTTTCAATAAGAAAAATAAATATGTATCTTACAATCTCCCTGGGGTCTGTGTATATCCGTGATTGACTTGTAATTGTTTTTTTTTTTTTTCATATTGGGCTATATCTGCACACTCATGTTAGTGATTTGGGCCATACAGAGAAGTTACAAAGGTATGAGGATTTGCTTCTGTTTTCTTTTCTGGCAAGTACAGGATGTTAAATTTGTTTGTTCTTTCCTAATTTGAATCATTAGATAAAGAAGGAGCTAGTTGCTGGGAATTCTAAAGAAGAGGTAAAGTGGATTGACAAAAAGGGATAGTAATTTCTGGAAGGAAATCGTAACAGAAGAGGAAGGATGATGACAGCAAATTGGGGACTTAGAACAATCAGCAAATTGATGCCTGAGATATGGCTGAGGCTGACAGAAGGGGGTAGCTCTTGATATCATAGATTTAGAAAGACACTGGGACCAGTACAGGAAAACAAAAGGCATTTATTTGCTTTTCATTGAAATTGGTCATAGGAAGCTCCTGTTGAGTTCCTGGTTAAGCCATAAATAAAAGCTAGTGTTTTAGTACCCATTATTATTAATTTTAAGATGTATAAAGTGTAATTTTCACTTTATTTATTAAGTGTGTTACTGTCTTTTTTACTTCAGTGATTATGAAAATATTTATGAGGGTTTCCTGGTTTACTCTTGATCCTAGATGCCCTTGTCCTACTTCCAGTATATACTCTTAAATTCACTTGCATATTGCCTTGAAATAAGAGATTCAGGGACCTGTTCTCTAAATTTGCAGAGAAATTTCTGTATTTGATACTTTAATAAAGTTAAAAATCCACTGAAATTCGAGGTCGTAGTAAAGGACACATACTTGGGATAAACTGGTGACTGGTTAGTTAAATGACCTTAGATAGGTCGTTTGAACTCTCTGGACCTGTTTCCTCATGTGTGAAAGGTGAGTAGTATTAGATGAGGTCTGAGGCCTCTCTCTGTTTAGATTCTTGACATCCCGAGGTGCTTTTCTCAGGGTAGCAGCCACCTTACACTTGAAGGCGAAGGGCCCATATTTGGGAGAGGGCCCAAAGAATTTTGAAGTAGCGTCTCAGGTTTTAGTCTGCTTACTAAGTTGCCAGTGCCTGGCTATCCTTTAATAAAGTGGCAGTTCTGTGTTTTCTTGGCCAAGGAATCAAGGAGGGATGCTGGAACGCTACATCATTGCCTTGAGAGCACACTGGAAGAAGATGCATAGCTGCTGATGGCAAAGTTGTAGTTCCCTTAGATGGTGAACAGTCCTTGTTTACGTTTTTTTGGAAAAAAGGAAAGAATACTTTTTTGTCTACTTCTTTTGTAGTTGTAGTTGAAGAAGATTAACTGCAATATTCTAAAAGTGGTTGGGAGGCACTTTATTACTAAGGAGTGCTGGCTTGACTGGAATAGAAATGTTGGTGACTTGGAACTTGAATCAGAATGTTAAATTTTAAGTGTGAAAAGATTCATTGGAAAGTATGACTCAAGTTATGGAAAGCAAATTGTACTTAATATAATATTAAATACAACTATTGCAGCCTAGGGAAAAAATTAAACTACTTTACTGGAAAATAACATTTTATATGGCACTTACAATAATTGTTTAAGGGGGGTGAATTAGTTCTTTGGGCTCTTTTAGAAACTGCATCATGTATAATATATTGCTGTCAATATCTCTGAATACATTCAATGGTTATATCAAATGATATGAAGTCATATTTTTTTCAAATACATGTGCTTTTTCAAATATGTGTATGACAATGAGAGATAACATAGCTGCTACAACAGTTGTTTACTTAGATTGCCTACACCATTTTTTTATTAAAGTATCATTGATATACAATCTTATGTTGGTTTCAGTTATACAACACAGTAGTAATTCAACTGCCTACACTATTTTTAATAGATAGTTACACAGGTAGCAAGTTATAAGAATCTCAGCAAGAAATGAAACTTTATACTGTATCTTAGCCACTAATATCTTTTCATCTTGCAGGAAAGACATGAACCTATTGATATGATGCAATTCTTACTTGTAGTGAATTTTGGTGAATGAATGGATAATTGGATGCTTCTGCTACATTTTAGGAACACCTATTCTCTTGCCTGTATTTCTTACTATAGGTTTGATGAACCCATGTTGTCAAAACAGTAGTATATAAACTTAAAAAAACTAGTTTCATTCTGAGAACTTTTTGAGCACTTTTTTTTAGCTGTATGAGAAAACCTAAACAACTAACACTATTGATTTTAGAAAGATAACCTCTGTATGAAATAAATGTCAAGAATATAAATGATACAATGATTGATGACATTTTAATTTCCTTCTCATATTCCAAATATTTGTACTAAAAATGGAAATACAAGTTATTAGATTCACTAATACATACTTTCTGAGTATAAAAAAGGAAAACTCTTAGGCTTTTTGCATATATGCCATTATATTAATCTGGAAAAGCATTAATAATCTGATGTACAAAACTATAGCAATAATATCCCCTTTAAAGACTCCCTTAAACTGTAGAACAACAGCATTATAAAGGAATGTCCAGTGTTAGGGGACACACGAAGTCATACTGTAAAATTTATCTATTCCTGCAACAAAAAACTCCCTAGACCAGTTTCACTGTATTGAATATAAACAAACTTCACAAAGTGACCTCTAGCTCTGGCTCAAAATAGTTGGCATTTACTTCACTATTATCATGTATGACACCAGCAAGCATAACACAACTATTGTTGACTGAAAATAAGCTCTTGCATCTTCAGAGAAGGTAGTAATTCTGAAGATGTGCTTTGAATAGACTTTACAAACTACATTTTGGGCTTCAATTTTTTAATACTTTTTAAAAAGATATTCAGTATTCCAAAAAGTCAAAAAGATTTCTACTTAACCCATGTTCTTTACAACACACTAGCAATGGAGAAAAGTAAATTTGTGTAAGAAAGTCTTAAGGGATAAAAACTGCTTTAACTACTTACAAATGTGCCATTTCTCTAACATACATTTTAATCGCATTTTAGTTGAATCCCTTGAATTAATTTTCTCTAAGTTCTTAAAACCAGTTACAAAAACATTACTTATGAAATGACAGCAGTCCTATTGTTATAAAATTAAAAATAAGTGAGACACTGACATACAGGATACTTTCAAAACCTAGCAAAATACCCAAGATAGAAAGCCAGTTATGGTCATTGTTTAATTTTTCTAAAAATTTCAAAAACTAAAAAAATGTAGGATTGACTTTGACAACATAAACACCAGAATGATCATAACTCTGGGAAACTCAAACACTTCTAAAAAAATTTACAAACTGTACATTTCAAATATGTGGGATATGTACATTAGTTATAAATTTGAGTGACAATCACATTTACAATGAATACCATAACAAAAGATTGTGAAAGCAATGCTCTACACTTAAATTGCTTATTTAACTAACTTGTTCTTAATATTTAAGGAATAAAGTATTTTTTGAACCCCTAGCTGTACAGGACTCTAGGTTGACTTTTAAAACTGATAAATAGAAAGAATGGAAAAGAGAACATCCAGTGAAAATAATGATGACATAAAAACATCACTTTGGTGGGGAATGTTGAAGAAAGACTCTCTTAAAGTCTAAGAATAAAAAGGAGAATGAGGGAAAAATATTAAGAAAGAGAAAAAAATTTTTTTAATAGGACTAGCCTTTGGGCAAGGAGAAGGACTAACAGCATTTTTGAGAAGTATTACTTTTTGACACATTTCACCCTACTGTGTGTATAAAATATTTTTTGTCAGTTTGGAATCTCACCTTTTTCCATACTTCATAAGATAGGTAATTAAAATGCAGTAGAGCTGACAGTTTGTCAGAGTACCTTTAATTAAAACGTCAGAAAACCATTTTCGTAAATTGTTCAGAGTTTCATTATCAATGGTCACAAATTCATGGCCTGTAAGAATACTTGTCAAAATAAAATGCATTATGGACTATTGAACCTGTATGAAAACTCCGTAAAAAGAAGAAATTCATTAGGTTTTTAAACTGTCTTAACTTTCCTAATGAATGCTATTGACAATAATTGCCGTCCTAAGAAAACAATAACCATCTATTTATTGAACCTCGTTTCTCCTAAATGTTCTTGCTTCTTTGCTGGAACAAAGTGTGTTATTGTTTCAAAGGTTCTGAGCTGTTCTTCAATTATCTGAGTGAGTCTACTGCTTAAAGCAAATATTTACCTTATGCCCACAATTAAAAAAAAACCAGCTAAAACACAATTTATGCAGTGCCTTACCTAAGAGAAGGAGGTATATTTTGCACTGAAAGACCCTGGCAGTGCTGCTGAAGGGCTCCATGAAGGCATCCTGTCCCATGCATACAGTGCTCTGTTTGTGGTGGCAACTTGTTCCATGGACCAGCAGCTGCTGGTTTATTTGCTAGGGAAATTAGCAGTGAGGTAACAGACCCTATCCTGCCTCTTGCTTCTGTGATTTGAATACAGAATGAATGTGTATACAAAGGACACAGAGGGTGGGAACACCTGTTATATGCTCTGCAAGAATACAGGCGTAGGACATTCAGACAGCTTCTTACCTCTGATTAGTAACTGTCAGTACATTTTATGAATTATTCTTAGTTATTAATAATCACATGAAGGAAAGCATCCTTTTGGGTGACTTCATGGTAAAACAGTGTACTTTCATAAAGAGAGCATATTGTGAAATTTCCAACGAGAGCTGATTTTCTGTCGTGCAAAACTATGCCATTATTTTTAAGTTAAAAAGTTTTTTCTATGAAAATTGAAATATTTCGTATATCTGCCAGTTACAAATCATCATGAAGTCCCGAAGTAAATGTGAAAGTTATATCAACGAATCAAAACAGAGCACTTGAATATCTTTAAAAATGTATTTTGTATTACAAATGTCTGCCATGATTTTATTGAATCTATGGATTCATGTTATTCTTAAAAGAAACCACAGGTGTGTTTCCAAAAGATAACTGAATCATGAACGGTGCATTATTACAATGAAAAGCATATGCCAACAGATAATATCTGAGGCCACATTTTCACAGCTGAAGCATGGAGGAAGTGAACTGATGGCCCAGATACCTGGCCTCTACTGTGGTGTCTAGGCCACAGCTTTTCAGCCTGGCCGTTTCACTGCCATGGTAGCAGGCAGTCTGAGCACTTCAGCTTAATTTAGTAAGTTATAAGTTAACCCCTATTTCATTTTTTTTTCTTGCAAGAAGGCTCTAGTCCAAGCATTCCACTATATACAATAAAAATGTATATAGCCAAATCTGTGTGAAATCAAGCAAAATTCCTTGTATAAATCATTTCTAAAAGTAAAGGCTCACTGAAATTCAATGATAATAGAAGCAGAAGAATAGTCCTCAAGATAAAACTAAAGATAAAAAAAGGAATGATAGTTATTTTTGAATCCAGGTTTGGAAACAAAACACTTTTGTATCAAGGCTCCTAACTCTTTCAGAGGTGCTTCTAGGCAAAGGAAGTTGAGGGACTGTTTGAAACCTGAGGTCTCTTCAGAGGTCTCTTTATGATCTCGCCATGCTTCAGAAAAAAATGGCAAGAGCTCCCCCCTTCCAAGGAATTACTATATTGAAGCTTTCCCTCTGCCATCTCTAACTCTTGTACATATGTCTATCCTAGCACTTATCTCATTAACCTCAATTAACTTTATTGCATGTTTATTTTCCCTCTGGGCTCCTTGAATACAGACCCCAGTCTTATTCATTTATGGATCCTAGCACCTAGCTCAGTGCTTAAGTACTATTTTTGTTCTGCTTTTCCCTTAGAAATAAATCCCACGTGCTCCTTGGCCCTTGTCTTCTGAGCCTCAGTTGATGCTTAAGAAAGAGAAACAAAGTTTAATACTGGATTGCACAAAATACAATTCAGAAAGTAATAATGAAAGTCTACAGATATCACTTAGAGTCGCCATCTTGTCTTTAAATCAAGATTAATCTCCAATTGCTTTTATTAAATAACTGCTTGCCAACGTTTTTCAAACCGTGTGCTGGCTCATGATGAAGTTTTAGGCATAAGAGAAACAGAGATATGTAGTGAGTTTTTCCTAAGGCTACCCAATTTAAAGGGCTGATTTTTATTGAGATTTTTTTCTTTTGTTGTATTTTAAAATATCCTTTTATGACATAGGTGATAACAGAGGCTATGTAAATAAATAAATGCCAAAATGAATCAGAGTTGTGGGCTCTGCATGTCATGGCACACATTAAAAAATGACAATACCTAAGGCACAGCTTGAGAAAGCGCTACGTGGCATAGGCGTGACAAAGTGCCCTCTAGCGACAGGTGGCAGACATAAACGTACCTGCTGGAGTATTTTCTGAATTCAGGATGTTTACACAGGAAGCCATACAAGGTAAATATAAAATATAACTCCAACTTGTTAATTTTTATATGATTGTTAAAAATGGCTTAAAGTGTTTATCATTATAAAGAGTTTCAGAAAATTTATCATTATAAGAAATTTCCCTCCATCAGTATCTCACATCTCACCTGTAACCCACTGAAGGGCTTTGCTCTATCATACTGTCCAGAAGCCTGTGAACTGATCTCAGTTATGTTTGCATTTAAAGTGCAAAAGTTGATTAATTTAAGCAATCTATATCCATGTTGCAAGAGGCAGTGTGTGTGTGTGTGGTTGTGAGGTGCAGGCTTTGTTGCTTCTCAAATCACACTACAGTTTACTGTCTTGTTTGTTTAAAATCTAAGTGAAGCTGGTCTGGCTTTGTAAAGCAAACAGTCTGCTACATGCATTTCAAACATCCACATTCATTATTTATTAGTGCCATCTGCGTGTTTTAGAATAATCGCAAGAATTGGGAAAGAGAGGTGGTTAAATGCCAATGCCAAGGTCAGTGCAGACAGATTGGGGGATTTAAGAAGAGCTGGGGAAAGAAAACACTGGCTTATGTTGTAAATAGACAGATTCTAGGAAAGATTACAGTTTACAAGGAAGAGCTGGCTGCTAGAGGAGGCCACACAATCACCTTGCCTGTGTTGGTGTTCCCTTGTAAACAGTTTCATCTACTGTGCTGCCTAGCTCTACTGCTATGGCCGCTGAATGACTATGTGGCAATGTCTTCCTTCCTGGGCCCCTTCCAGGTCCCTGCTTTACTTTCAGCGAGAGTTCTGTTCTCCGTAACTGCTTGCTCAGGGAGTGTAGTTTCATCATCCTGAAGAGGCCACATCTTCCCACTGCTTTGATATTTACAGGATGATTGGAAGTATTATTTCCTAATCAAACCAAGATCTCAGCTTTTTTAAGTTTCCAGAGGTTCCTGCTGTTTCAGCCATCAGAAACATCTCTTTATCCTACTTTACTGCTAACATTACTCCCTGAATGCTATCAACTTAGTTAACTCTTAGCCCTGATGTTCCAATGCAAAAATGAGGATGGCACTCCTTACTATCACCCAGCAAGCTTCCCTCAAGACTTGTTAGCAGACCAGCCGAACTTCCCACTAGTTTGCTCTGGCCTGTCACTAATGGCCCTCAGGTACAGGTGAAAGTCCTAAATAGATAGATTATATGTGTATTTTCAAAAAATGGAAATGAAATAACATGCTTCACCTTTTAAAAAGTGCTCTTCAGGGATCTATGTTCTTCTGTTTTTAGTTTAGGCAGTTAAAATGCACCATTCTTGACTCAGTTATTTTCTATAGTGCAAGGGTATGTTGAATTAGAAAATTATAGTTTCTTTAGACAACAGCATTAATTTACTTTATGTGTTTTCAGTATTATAGTTACAATCTTTGAACTTTTAGAAGCCTGGGTTGTCCCAGTTTTCAGTTTATAAGAAATAAACTAAAACCTAGAATATTACAATAAAGTTTTAATCCTTTCTGGCTTTTTTAGTGTCAAATAGATATAGAAAACACTCATTTACCCAATTTGGCTGACAGAAAAAAATAAACACACGGGATTAAAAACACTTTTTTTTTTTTGTCACCTGCAACTTTGTATATTGAGTGTTTGAGGGAGAACATTTTGGGTTTGGATCTGGGTTCTAGTCCAGATCAAGCTCTAATTTTAAAGTGTGACCTTGAAACCTTAGATGGATAAATATTGTCAGTTCAGAAGAATGGATTTGACATGCTAGAGTTGGCTGCCTATAGGAATAACTGAAGACCTTAAACAAAGAACGCAAAAGAGAACAATAATGACAATGGCATACTTCTCAGGTGAATCTGAACGGTCGGGTTTGAGAACTACTGGTCTTGCAACACGGCTAATATATGCTTTTCAATTAAATTGTAAGCACTTCAAGGACCAAAACTGTTTTTTAATCTCTTAATTTGAAGTGCTTGTTGTAGCGTTTCCACTGCCCAACAGTCAACAAATGTTGGCTGAATCGGGTTTCATTTTATATGTTAATATGGTCAGCAGTTTCTAGTGCTTTCAGGGACCTCTAAATATTAGAGATTCTCACACAATAAAAACTGTCTGGCAATTAAGATTAGAGCAGGTAAAGAATGAACTACACTAGGATTGCCCAAAAGTGCATTGAATTTCTTCATGGAGTTAGAAGTAACAGAGTCAGAAAAGCATATAGGTAAACACATAATTTCAAAAGGAATTGTTAAGCACAATGATAGAAGTATGTACAGAGTGGCTCTGTCAGAGCAGAGCACTGGGCAGAACTACGACTGTAATACTTCCTAATTGTAAGGTGCTTTACAATTTATAAATTGTATTCACTTAGCTCATTTCACATATCCTAACAAAGCCCTGGGTCAAATATAAGCCTGATTTGTAAAAATTAATAAGACAAAACACTAAGAGGTCAAATAATAGAATTTCAGGGTTGGATATATCCTGTATCTTAGTGTCCCCCAAACTTAAATCATTTGAAGCCACTTTTATTATTTTTGTCCTATTTGATTACCACCCATACTATTGTTTGGCAAATATTTTTCATTAGTTTGGCTCACATTAACATTTTTTTAGTAGTCCTAAAAATCTTTTTGAAATCATGGGTCTGTTTTATTTTTTTCTAACAGACATTAATGAAAATAAATGTAAATTAAAAAAAAATAATTGCTACCATGCTTCAACACCATACATGACACCCTTACTTAAAACTGGATAATCAGTTTCTGCTTGCACATCCACAGTAATCTTAGGAAGGTTACTTAATTTCTCTTTATCTCAGTTTATTCATATTTAAAATGGGGGTAATAGAACTCATATAACTCAACACCAAAAAAAAACACCCCAAATAATCTGCTTGAAAAATGGACAGAGGATTCGAACATTTTTCCAAAGAAGACATACAGATGGCCAACAGACATGAAAAGATGCTCAACATCACTAATCATCAGGGAAATGCAAATCAGAACCATAATGAGATATCACCTCACACCAGTCCCAATAGCTAGTATCCAAAAAAAAAGGAATAATAAGTGTTGGTGAGGATGTGGAGAAAAGGGAACCTTTATGCACTGTTGATGGAAATGTAAACTGGTGCAGCCACTATGGAAAACAGTATAGAGGTTCCTCAAAAACTAAAAATAGAAATACCATATGATCTAGTAATCCTACTTCTGGTATTTACATGAAAAAAATATAAACACTATTTTGAAAAGATATATGCACCCTTATGTTTATAATAACCAAGATATGGAAGACACCTAAGTGCCCATTGATAGATGAATGGATAAAGACAATGCCATAGATACATACAATGGAATATTACTTAGCCATAAAAAAGAATGCTATCTTACTATTTATGACAATATGGATGGGCCTAGAGGGTATTGTGCTAAGTGAAATAACCCTCAGGCAGAGAAAGACACATACCATATGATTTCACTTACATGTGGAATCTAAAAAATAAAACAAATGAACAAATAAAAACCCAGAAACAGATTCATAAATACAGAGAACAAACTGGTGATTGCCAGAGTCAGGGGATGGGGAGATAGGCAAAATAGGTGAAGGGGATCAAGAGGTACAACCTTTCAGTTATAAAACACATAAGTCATAGGGATGAAAGGTACAGCATGTGGAATGTAGTCAATATTATAATAACTTTGTATGGTGCCAGATGGTAACTACACTTACCTGGTGAGCATTTTGTAGTGTATATAAATATATATAAATGTTGAATTGCTATGTTGAACACCTGAAACTAATATATAACATCAACTGGATTTCAATTAAAAACAGAAATAAAACATTGCCAGCACCCAGAACACGCACTCGTGTCCCTTTGAAGGGGCAATTCTATGTAAAATAAAGAAATTCGATGTGAAATAAAACAAGTAAATGGGGATGGTAGTACCAGCTCCACAGGATGATTGTATGGATAAAGGAGACAATACATGTAAAGCTATTAGCAGAGTTCTTGACATGTAGCAAACGCTTAGTGTTAGCTATTATTGTGAGCTCTAGTTCATTTTTTGTGGTATTTCCATAATTGTAAATTTCTTTCTAAAATTGCACCCTAAAAGGCTCCCCTATTTCTCCCCCCAATTTAAGTAAACTGATAAAAGTTGAAAAGTGACAGATGTACTTATTATTAATGCTGTGTTTCCCATCTTGACTTGCTTAGATTACTCAGGTAGTAAAATGAGTGGTGTGGGTTAAATACTTTGGTTTTGGAGGGTTTTTTTTTTTTTTTGCAGTGGATTGATTACAAGACAGGGAGAACAGCCCTCTAGCAGTGGGCAGCCGCCTGCCAACTGGATAACCTGGACCACACCTTTCCTTAGGCCAAGCCCAGCGCCACGCGGGGAGTCCCGAGGTTCTCAGGTCTCTTCTAAGTGAGTGCCTTTGGGTTCCTGCCGCTTCGCGTCCATCTCACGTCCTCTCACCCCGCCCCTCTAGACCTGGTGGTTTCCTCCATCACACTCCTAGGGGGCATCATATCAGTCTGGTTCACACACTGTCCTCTCAGTGTTTGTTCCTGTCGCTCAATGCCTAGTGACTTGTGAGTTAGACTTTTGCCTTGCCGAGGCAGAGCTACAGACAGCAAGAACCTCTGTAAAAACCGGCGATCACCTTGGTCACTCAAGAGCAACAAGATTTTCAGGTTTAACAGAGGATCCCGCTGTTTTGCTTGCTGGGAAATGTAGTGCGTGGTCGTGTCGTCTCTCCTCCGCAGAAGGTGCCAGCGGCAACCGAAAGACTACAGTTCCCAGAATGGTCCGGGAAGAAGGGATGACCCGGGTCGGAAGTTCCACGTGACCATTCACCATGGCTTCCCTGTGTAAGGGCCAGCTCTCCGCGGCTTCGCTGTGATTTGTTTTAGCGGTGCTGTAGCCCCTCACGATTTGGACATGCAGAAAATCAAATCTCTCATGACCCGACAGGTAAGTGGCGGGGGTTGAAGCAAAGGCCTCTTTCATCTTCTCTGGGAGAAGAGCCGAAATGTTCTGTCCCTGGGCCGCGGCGGCGGAGACCAAAGTTATGGTGGGGATAGGTCTCGGGGGCACTAGGAAGCCGGTGCACATCTTAGAAAACTCACTTGAGCCGTCCGGGTGGGAGTCTGCCTAGGCGAGTAGCGGCGTCCCAGAAACACTGATGAAGATGAGATCAATGAGGAAGTCAGGCTAATTTTTGTCTCCCATTGTCCCCCTTTTGCTACATACCCAGCTTCTTGCAGGGTTCCCTTTATCCAGGCTGTCTGTCGTCCGTGAACAGGTGGCTTGGATAGGGAGGTGAGGTCTGTGCAATAGAGATGACTTGGAAAAAGTGAAAAAAAAAGGACAATTTGAATACAGAATTGGAAACTTCACGCTTTTGGGCAAGTCCCCAAACCTTGGAGCTTAAGTTACCCGTGAACATGAGAATAATTATTTTTGTTCAACCTGTCTCACAGTTCAGTTGTGAGAGTCATCAGTAAATCAATGCATGTGAAATGAAATAAATCATTGTCATGGCAAAATAATGGCCTTTTATTTTTTGTCAGAATGATAGTTCATGAATAATAGCTTTGGCTTTTTTCTATTCCATTTCAAAAATGTTAGGGGCTTACTAATAGTGTCTCAATTTCCTTCAAGTAGGAAATGGCAGAAATTTTCTTTCATGCACTTACTGATTATAACTTGGTTTTATATGCCATTTCAACTCTAATAATTTCACTAGAACTGGCCATTATTTAATTTTATATGAGAGAAGCATAATTTAGATTAGAGTTTTGAATCAGCGTGGTTTTGAGAACTTTGGGGAATGTGTAAGATAATCATTTAGTGAGAGGTTCATTTGTGAGGTTTTTTTGGTTGATTAAAAAAATATACATTCTAAATTCTTATTTGAGAATTCAGAATTTGACAGATATTTGAGTAGGCTACAGTGGTTAATCTGGTGAAAAATATACTAGATTGTTTTACTCTTTCAAATTATGTTGTTATTCTCATGAAAATAAAATTTAAAAGTTCTGTGAATAATGAAGGATCTTAGTAAGTGGGTAGTAACATTTGGCAGTCCCTCCCAATAGCAGTGGTGGTGTGCTTCATCCCACTTCTCACTTGAGCATGAGTTTGGACCCGCTCCATCCTGTAGCTGGAGTATGACCTTGACCAAGTAAGCTTTTTTGAGCATCTGTTTACACATCTTTAAAATAGGAGCAATGACCCATCTCCTGGGATTAGTCTGTTGGTGTTTATATGATATGATGAAGGTAAAGAGATAAAGGAGTTAACACAGTTCCTAGGCCTTATCAAGGAAGAGCTTGATTAGAGACCATGTCAGTGGCTGCATTGATGGTGGGAAAACTGGAAGCAGGCTGTTGCAGTAATTCAAACAATAGATGACTTCAGGATGACTTTGGTATCTGTTTGATTTTTAAGACAGCATACACTTTTGTACATTATGTCACTAATATCCCTAAACTGCCTTTGGAATGCTGAATTTGGACTTTGTGGATCAGCTAAGTCTGGTGATCTCTCATGTTGCTTGCCCCGCAGTTCAGTGATGTCAACATTCTCAACATTGTACAGCAACTTTGGTTGATATGTTGTTTTTTAACCATAATTTGTAAAAATGAGTGGGAGAGAAAAAAATACAAAAGTCCAGATAACAGTGATACATTTGTGTCTCCTAAATGTAGTGGAATTTTTCCAAAAATTATAACTCTTCAGCCTTAATCAGTTAGTTGCTTATTGGACTTGAGCAGGTCAAATCTGTGCTTAGTTGGGATGGGAAAAAAGTAGAGAACTCAGATGAAAAGCTGGAACTATACTGTCTAAAAAGTGAGGTAAAATTAAAAGTTTTACACATATTTTAAAAGTCATCCTAATTATATTTGTTTATAGTTTGACTCCCACATATTTAATCATTATTAATACCCATTTCATGAATCAATGAGGCATGAAAGTAAGGTGTTACCTAGAGTTACATTCATGATTTTATTTGGTACTGTTTATTGTTGGGTTAAATGTAGTACTACAAATAAATGTACACAAAACTATATGGGTACAGATGTTTTATGATGCTAAAATAAAAATATGCTAATAACATTGTTAATGTAGAGAGAGATGAAATCAGGGTCTGTGGAACTTTAGATTTTTGTCATGTCAGCTCTCCAAGGATCTTGGCTTGGAGAAGAGTGGGAGGGTGGGCTTTGTGAGGGCTCTTTATTTAGAGGAGATCTGTTGTTAGCATTGTCCATTATGCTGGACTCTGTTCTTTCAGTCCATTTACCAAATGTTTATTGAGCACTATGTGCCAGGCACTCTTCTAAGTTTGGAGGATGCAGCAGTGAGCAAAACAGACGAGTGCTAAGGTGGGCATGATTAATGCTTTGGAGGAATAGAGGATGGGGAGTCCTGGGAGTTGTTGGCAAGTAGGGATCATTTACAATTTTAGATAGAGGGGCCATGGAAGGCCTCACTGAGAAGGTAACTTATGAATAAAAACCTGAAGGAGGCGAGGAAGTAAATCTGGATGTCTGGGAAGGAGCATGCCAGGTGGAAGGAAAAGCAAAAGTAGAGGCCTTGAGAGTAGGAGGTGAGAATGAGAATGAGCCTTGGAAGGAGCAGCATCGAGGTCACGGGTGAGCAGACAGGAACACTGGGAAGGGGGGAGGAGGAAGGTGGATGAGGGTGGGTTTGAGAGAAATTGAGGACTGAGTATAAACACTCTTGAATTTTGCTGAAAAGAGAAGGAAAATAAGTCATCTCACATGCTTCTTTTGATCATTGGGACATAAGTTGCTGGACTCTTAAGTGGAAATTGAAGATTAGTGTAGACTAAACAGAGGTGGTCTGAAATGGTAATCTGATTTGGGCAAAGAAATAAAGTATAGGGGCAGTAATTTATGCTGAATGTTGTGTAAATTTAAGTGGGAAATTATGAAAACAAGAAACAAATAAAAAATATCAAGTAATGGTTAATGATTACAGTGAAAATTTCAGTTTAGTAAAGGCAGAGTTCTAGTTATAACAATGGCTTCCTGCTTTAGCGAGGTGAAGATAAAGTGAAAATGATGACTTCAAATTTGTTAGTAGAGATTTATAAAATTGCCAACCAAAGGATTCAAGCCCTATGGTCCTAAAATACAGGTGAACGCTGTGCTTTGAGACATCTATGTAATTTTTTCATTTCTATTTTGGGTAAGTAAAAGAAAAGCATTTGTGATCACAATTATATTCTGAATAATGGTTAACACCTAAAGCATGCTTACTATGGCCAGACACTGTTTTTGGCCTGTCACACACATTGTCTCCTTTACTTGTAACAGCCTCTAAATTACTGTCACCATCATTATTATGACAGGCAGCGTAGGCAAGTTGTTCAAGGCCACAGAGCTCCTTCCTTGGATGATGCCTCCTAAGACATATGTGGACTTTCCAATTTTTATTACTTTTTTTTGTATATTTGGTGGAAAGTTGCTATGTATTACTAGCGAATTACTGTATGTGGTGACTAATCTGAGGTAGAGTCTTTTTCTAGATATTGGTTCATATCACTTATTTACATTGCAGGCATTGGCTTTTTTATTGATTAGCTCTGGGAAAGGAGAAAATTACACATAATATATTCCTCCAAGGATTACTGTTAGATTAGTTATACTTTGAAAAATGTTTAAAAGGCATATATATATCTATATATCTATATCTATGTGTATATATGTACACATAGATATATTTATATAGATATATAGATATATATAAATAGTGTTGATACACAATCTTATATTGGTTTCGGATGTACAACACAGTGGTTCAGCAATTATCCATATTATTAAATCGTCACCCCCTCTAGTGCAGTTAGTATCTGTCAATGTAAAAGATGTTACAGCATCATTGACTATATTCTCCATGCTGCACTACCGTTCCCATGACCAACTTATATTGTGATTGTGAATTATTGTGCCCCTTTACTCCCCACTGCCCGCTGCCTTGGTAACCCTAGTCACTTCTCAGTGTCTTGAGTCTACTGCTATTTTGTTCCTTCTGTTTTGTAAAAGGCACATTAAAAAAAAAAGATATTTTAGGGGTGGTAATGATTTTTGAATCAAATTAAGATGTTGTACTCTCTTACATATGTATGTATATGTGTGTGTATAGTGTATATACAAGTTTACATCTGTAACCCAGCCTTGCCTTCTTTACTACTTCTGGTGCTTTGCCCACATAACGACTGTTGGTGAGAACTGGGACAAGGAAGAACAAAGACAAGATTGTTAGTAGTTACATAATTTAATTTCCTCACTCAGTGTAAACCAGGAAACCTTAGTATGCTTTTCCTATCCCAGCAACCTTGCCTGGGAGCTTCATTTTAAAGTCAATTGCATATTCCTATGGGAACAATGTTCTAATTAGTTGGAGCTTGGAGCCTGACCAAGGATTTGTATGAGATGATTTACTCATTGCTTTGGTGTTTACTCTGTTGCTGGAATTTTGCTAGCCACAGGACAATGGAGGCAAACATGCCTCAGTCTCTCCTTTCTTCTGGGACTTAACGGTCTAGTAGAGAAAGAGATACATTTAATATTTAAAACTTCACTACTTTGGCAGAGGTATTGTGTTGGAAAATGTCTAGCTGGATTTCTAAAACATTAGTGATTATATGAGCCACCTAGTTGCTTGTTAAAATGCATTACTGGTCATTGTGCAGAAATAACCTGTTCATTATATCTGTGATGGGACCCAGGAATCTCACATCTAAAAAATTCCCTGGATGATATTGAAAGAGATGATCCATGGACAGTACTAAGAAATAGTGTGTTCTCTGAAGCTTGAGGATTTAGGAGGGCTTCAAAGAGGAGTTAATTCTGAAAGTGGGATATTGATTTCTTTCGTGGTGTGTGTGTGTGTATGGGAGAGAGAATGAGAATAAGAGAGAGAAAAGGCTGGGTGGGGTGTTCTGGGAGTACTGGGAGACTTGGGCTGAGGTAAAGCACCTTGTCATTATAAATGACTAGTCGTGTTTTATAATAGGGAAGGTAAAATACACAGCTCTATAAAAATAAGCAAGTTCTGCCTAAGTTTTAAATAATCAGCCTAAATGTACCATATATTTTGATTACTAAGGACACCAACGAACCAATTATAGGACACCTGAAGGACCAAAACTTGACTAGCATAAATCTCTCCTCAGATTCATGAACCACTTAATTTTGCTTACAGGCTAATATTACAGGGGCTTTAGGTGTCTGCTTTGAATGGCCCATTTTTCAAAATAGGCTTTTAAAGAAAATGTAAACTGCTAATTTCTCTCTTTCAATAACTTTTCTCTGGTCCAAATAAGACTTGGAATCCCTCACTTGAAATAAATATAGAAAGTACTGGATACCAAAGAGCTAAAGGACAGGTAGGAAGCAGCGAGACATGAGATTTAAATCTTGATTATGCAGTATACATTGGGTGCGTTTGTGAGAAATAACCACGTAAAAATCAAGGGATTATTTAAGTATTAATTAAGCAATCAGCATTATTTTAAGATATTTGACTAGCTCGGTTGATGTATTTTATCTGTGAATCATAATACTGGAACTTTTTTTCTGGGTGAATTTGCTAGTGATTATAGTAGGTAAGTGCTCTTACAGAATGCTGCCGCACAAGTTTCTTTTCTTTTCGTTGTTTTTAAATCATTGTTAAATTAGATTTCAACCATTAGTTATGAAGGTGCCATATAATACTTCTAAGCTACCAAAAGTACATCTTTACTTGATGTAATAGTAGTACTATATTCATTAAGTGACAATTGTTTTTAGAACATATGTTCTATATATTTTAGAGCAGGAAAATGTCTCTTTAAAATGGTGATTTCTATTTTAATAGGTGTGTTCTGTCATTTTACAGTTCTGCAGTGCAATGAAAATTTTATATATTTATTATTTTTTAAGGGTCTGAAAAGCCCTCCAGAGAGCCTCAGCGATCTTGGTGCCATTGAGAGTCTCCGGGTCCCTGGAAAGGTATTGATCTACATGTGTGAGCGTGACTTTACACTTCCTTAAGAAAATGTTACTGCCTTTGGATAATAATTGATTCATAGAAGCTTTTCTTTCCCACAGGCAGATGGTTGTTACCATAGGCTAGATAAATTTTTGTAGTACAATAGGCTTGGGCTTGTTTTTACTTTTACCACTCATTGGGATGCAGGATGATCATTATAGTGAAGCAGAAAATTCAAGATAGATAAATATAGAGTTTATTATCATATAACATTATTAGCCTGAAAGCAGTTATACATGTATATATGACACTTATGGATTTATCTGCTGTATTTGGAGAAGTGAATGGAAATTATTTTACTTTTTCTGCTGTAACACTCTGAGCCAAAAGTCACAGTTAATTATGTTTTTGTAATGGAGCAGAGATTTTTGAAGAAGTAGCTAAAGCATAACTTACACTAAATTGTGCCTGTCTTAGATTTTAATCCCTTGATATTTATGTGAATGTCCCAGTTTACTAATTTAATAGGTAGTATTTGAAAGCTAGCTGGCTTCCCCTTGGGAGAATTATTAACCGTTGTTAAATAAATAAGTGCCTGCTGTTTCTCACTCTGGGGTGTTGCCACTTGCAGCTGCTTCTGGGAATAGCAGCTCCATATCAGATCAAAGCTTGTTCTTTGGAAGGTCTGCTTTTTATTTTCAATTTGAGGATCATATTTGAACCTACTGTTTGTTTTCTGTGCCTGGCATCTTTATACATAGGACTTGTTTCTCTTGATCAGTAATCATAAAGCCTCTCCACACCTCAGTGTCAGCTGCTCAAGAGACTGATTCCCCACCTCTTTGAGGTGCCTTACCCCCTGAAGTGACTTTTATATTGACTATGTAGCCTTTATTTTAGGTCAGGCCCAAACATATTCACCAAATATGATAAATTTTGACCAACCCTTTTGCATGAAATGGCTCAGTCCAAAACCTTAAACAGGCATTTTGAATAGTTTTATATAATTCTTTCTTTCTTTCTTTCTTTCTTTCTTTCTTTCTTTCTTTCTTTCTTTCTTTCTTTCTTTCTTTCTTTCTTTCTT